TCCCATTTTTTCTCACCTTTGCAAACTTGAAGTTGTCGGGCCTTCACCCCCCAAAATCCCCCAGCCAGCGATTGCGGGCTGGGGAATTCTGGGAGTTGAAGTCCAGACATCTTCAAGTTGACAAGGTTGAGAAACACTGGAATAGAGATTAGAATTATGTATGAAATCATAAGAGGGAAAATGTATAAGACAAGAACTAAGCAACAGGGATGGAAATACGATATTCTGATATTCGTAAATACTGAACAGGCCAATTGTAAATAAACACGGAGGTTATAATATTTAACTTTATATTTTAGTATGCATGGCAAAAGCATTGCCGGGATGGTTGTGCTGGGTCCAATGTTTTAATGTGTGTGTTTATTTTAAAAAATTGGATGTTTGTCAACTGTGCTATATTGACAATGGATTTAGAGGGTCCCTGGCTCATGTGATCACCACTTGTGACCCTCCCAGCTGGCTTCAAAGCAAAGGCAATGGAGAAGCTGGATTCGCTTAATGACTGTGTGATTCGCTTAATGATGTAGTAATTTGCTTAACGACCATGGCAAAAAAAGGGCCGTAAAAGCAGACGGGCTCCCTTAACAGCCGTCTTGCTTAGCAACGGAAACTCTGCTCTCAGTTGTGGTCGAGTGTCGAGGACTAGCTACTGGGAGTCCCCGACTTACGACCCACAATGGAGCCTAATATTTATGCTGCCAGGTGAGAAATGCGTTAGGTGAGTTTTGCCCCATTTTACGACTTTTTTTTGCCGCGGTCGTTAAGTGAACCCCTGCAAGTTGTTAAATTAGTTGTTAAGTGAATCTAGCTCCCCCACCGAATTTGCTTGTCAAGGAGGTCGCAAAGCTGCAATTGTTGTAAATGTGAGTCAGTGGTCAAAGCATCGGAGCGTCAAATCACGTGGCCACGGGGATGAGGGAAACGGTCGTAAGTGTGAAAAGCTGTCCTAAGTCACTTGTTCCAGTGCCGTTGCAACTTGGAACGGCCACTAAGTGAAGCGTTGTAAGTTTAGGACTACCTGTGTAGGTGGAGGGTGGAATTTAAGGGAAGGAAACTGCCGGGGAAATTATGGCCGCCCCAACTGGCCCAACCCCTGGGGACTGCTGGGGGCCTTCCGCGGAAGAGGAGAATTGGGCCAAAGAGGGCAGGAGGAAGACCCTGCTCCCCTCCCCTCCGTACCTTCTGCTCCAGGAGGGCCCTCCGTAGGGACACCCTCTGCTCCAGTTCGCGCAGCTCCCGGTCGTGCTGGGCCTCGGCCTGCATCTTGATTTTGCTCTGGTAGGCGTTGAGCAGCTCCAGTTCCTGCTGTAGTTGCATCTTCAAGACCTGGCACTCCGCTTCCTGGGCTTCGTCCAGACGCAGCTGGAAGACAAGGCCGGAGGGCTCGCCGTGACACGCTTGCTCCGGAGGGACCTGCCCAACCTCGGCCCCTTTAAGATAGGGGCACTCCGACACCCGGGACCCCCCAGTTAGCATGCTTTCAGAAATCGGTGGCGGGATTCAGCCGGTTCGCACTGGCTCGGTAGAACAGATAGCTAGCTGTTTGCCAGTTTGGTGAACCGGCTGAAGACTTGCCCCTCCCCACTTAGCCCACTCCTCGCCCGGCGGCTCGCCCGAGCTTATTAGAGCCGCTTCGTGCTGCGACATCACCCGAGGGGAGCAGGAGAAGGAAAGTTCGCTCACTCCCTTTCTCTGCGTTTGCGCTGTTCGGCCTTCCTTCTCGGCATCCGAGCCACGTGACTACCGCCATGGGCCACCCGCAACTATTCTGGAGCCACCCCGGGAAGTCTGGGCAGGGCTCATGCTCCTGGTAGGTCTCCGACACTTCCCGACTCCCTCCTTTCGGCCATATAGAGCCGAGGTGGCGCAGTGGTTAGGGTGCAGCACTGCAGGCCACTTCAGCTGACTGTTATCTGCAGTTCAGCGGTTCTAATCTCACCGGC